AGAGAGGGACATCTTCAGCCCCATCCTCCTCCCAGCCTGGAGCAGGAGCCCCAGCCCCAAACCGCAGTCCTAGTGATGACGTGGATGATGGTGATTTGATTTCCAAATGAAGACAGCTTCATTGTTTTTACCCTATTATAAACAAGATACACACTCAGTGTAAAAAAGAAGTATAAAGAAGAAAGGGAAATTCAGCCTTAATGCTACCACCTAGATATCAGAGCTGTTAATACTTGGGTTTATAGCCTCTGATTATTTATTTCTGCAGGTATACATATATACATGTAGATACAGATATATATTTTTATTATAATGATTAATAAACCATCTCTATCCTTGGCATGTGTTTCTCTCTGCAACACACCTTCCTTTTCTCGCCTTCCTACTCTTTAAGACCTCAAGAAACTTCTGAGTATAGAAAACATTTCCCTCCTCCTGCGGGATCGGGTCTGCTCCTGAGCGGGTGAAGGAGCGATTATTTATACCGGGAAGCCTGCTCCAGCCTCCTACAGCGTGGGCGTGGGTTGCTAAGGCGTCCTGTGATCAGTCGGGGAGAGCATCTTAGTGGTCCCCAGGTCTTAGGTGAGGCTCCAGTCTATGCCCCGAATAAGCTTGAACCCGGTGCAACCTTCCTTCCACCTGTCCCCCAAAGTCCCCTCTCTCTACCTCCGTTGGTGACTTCCCTCTCCACTCATTTGGATTGTGACAATTCAACACAAGTTTACCTCTGTCTCTCCAGGACGACGTAGCTGTCTGAATGAATTAATAGTGTAAACAAAATTACAGGAGTCTGTGTTTAACTTGCTTCTGAAAACAAACATGTTAAAGGTATTTAGCACATTGTGAGTAGTGTGTAAGTCATGCTGCTAATTTCAGTGGGTCCTCACTGTTCTGGGGGAGCAGCCTCCCCCGCTCAGTTTTGACTCTTTTTTGGAGGAGTGGAGAAAAGGTCATAAAGCGGAGCCCTGAGTTCCCACCAGCTGCAGGCATCTTCACAAAATTTCGCGATCTTATGGGGGATAACGAGGAAACAGGCTCAAACGGGTTAACAAAAACATGCCCAGAGTTAGAGAGCAAGTGGCAGCATCGGGATTCAAACGAGTCTGGTCCTTTGCATGGCACCAAGCTGCTTCCCTTCAGAAGTGAACAGACATCATTTATTTCTGCGTGCCTGGGGTTCCCTCCTCTCCAATTAGTCTTAATGAGTTTTTTCCCCCGATGGACCATGATTCCCACAGAAGCAGTCACAGCTTCACGTCTGTAGCCCCCAGCGGCCTGGCGTGGCACCATGACCTTAAGAGGCCTCACTGAGTGCTGGTTGGATTCAAATAGAATAACTTCTCATTTCCTGGGGCTCTCACATATATTATCTCATTTGATCGTCGCCATCACCCCTACAAAGTGCACAGGCAGCAGGCACAGGGCAATGTGGCTAGCAATCAGGGTCAGGAGGGCAAGCTTCACACAACAGGGTCCATTGCAAGAGGCAGAATTTGCAAGGGCTGGGGGCAGCTCACACAAGTGGAAGAGGTCACTCTAGACAAGGATGTTCTGCAGCCGGCCATTCGTTCAACAAACATTTGTGGCTCCATAGTGCAGAATGTGCTCTCGGGTGACCCATTAAATGTACAAAGACTCTGCCGATGAAGTCAAACACGTGTGGCTCCTGCCCCCAATCACGGGAGGTCGGGCTGAGTGCCCGCTCGCCAGAAGGCAGCCTGGCTGGTCCCAGCTTCCCTGGGAGCTGGCAGGGGCCAAGGCGGGCAGCGAGCTGACAGCCAGCTTCCAATTGACCTCTGCAGGTGGACACAAGGCTCTAAGATCGGACCATTTTTACATAAAGAGAGTCATCCTTGAGACACAGTAATCCATGGCTCCCCATCCACTGCGAGCCCAGCCTGTTCTAAGGTCCCTGTTCTTGCCTCACCCTGCCTCTGCCACCTTGGGGGTCTTCTCAGAGCCCATCACCCCACTTCTGGAGTTTAGAAGTATTCTCTTCCCAAGCCCTTTACACCCACCTCAGGCCCTGCAGCTCAGGTCTGGACCCCACTCTGGGGTACAAATTCCTGTCCAATTCAGAGAACCGGGCTCAGTGCCAAAAGCTTCAGACACAGAGAACAAGACATGGTCCCTTCATGCAGGGAGTCAGGATAACACCTGTCCCTGTCACCTGAGTGTAAGCCAAACTTCCATCAGTGTTCAGACCTATTGAGGGAGAGAACTGGGCTTTCTTCTCTAGGCCTCCCCACCCTCAGCCATCAGCTCAGCCCCCACAGGGTACCTAGTTACCATATAAGGAGTCTCCTTGGCAGTTGTTAGCTCAGAAGTTCTGCCTCCCAGACCCCTGCTCACCTGTCCCCAGGTTCCCCCAGGAATATCCCTTTGGCTCTTGGCCGTTTGAGACATCCTGATTCCCAGACAGAATCTAGTTCATGGCTGTGTTCCCCTCCTCCATGGTTCTTTTGTGCAGAGAGACCCAGAAGGGCTTTAGGATGAAGGTTTTGGAGTTGGAAGGGACCAGAGTCACCCTGAGGGGCTGGAGACTGTGGCTGTGTTTTCCCAGCTCACCACAAGGCCTTCCCTCGGCTTGCCCGCCGCATTCCCACCCCGTTCCTTGGTTCATCCTGTCCATTTAGAGGACCACTGGATTGGAAATAACAGGCCCCCCGCCAGCCCTCTCCTCCCGGCAAGACACATCTAGTCCCCACCTCTCACCCTCCCAGAGGGAGCAGTGAGGCAGGGAGACGGAGGGGAGCAGGGAGCAGAGCAGATCTGGGAAAGCAATTAAAAAGCTAGTCTCAGGGTTAGAGGCTGAGAGGTGGGGGAGACCGGAGCGAGTCTTGGCTGGTGGGGAAGAAGCAGAGCTTATTAATCCCAACGCAGCAGCCTGGCTCCTGGGTCTGTGAAGGTTAGTGAGCTGTTGCCTCTGATGATGAGGTGCTGAGAGGGGCAGGGGAGAGGAAGGGGAAGGAGTCTGGGGGTTCATCCAGAACCCTTCTGCAGCCACAGGAGTCGGGAGCTTCTAACCAGCAGAGCCTGGCTGGGCCCAGGCTGTGGATGGGAGAAGGAACCCACCGCGGAGGCAGCCCTCCTCCAGCTGGAAGGGGGAGACAGCCCCTGCCCTCAAGGAGCGCCCGGCTGACCGTGAACCACGGGCTCTCATAGCAGGGTGCTCCATCCAAGGGGAGAGGGTGGCTCCTGTCTTGAGGGTGCCTTCGTCTGAAGTGGGAAACAGATCTTATCTGTAGGGTGATCCCAATCCGATGAGTCATAGGTCCTAGCATAAGGAAGTTCTCATCCATGGAGAGAGACATGGCCCCTTTCTTTGGGAAGCCTCAGGCTGAGAGGCAGACGAGACCCACACCTATGGGAGATGCTGACACACCCAGAGCTTTTCAAACCAAATGGAGTCGGGGCCTGTAGTCTAGGGATGAGGCAAGGCAAGGGCGGAGGAGTCAGGGAGGCAAGAAAACAGGCTGGTAAACAGCCCTTACTCTGAATCTTCTCCGGGACAGTGGGATAACTTGCACGTGTCCTTGGGCAGAGCCAAAGCTGTGAACCACTAACTAGTGGTCTGGGGTAAACAGTGCTGACTCCCACCCTCTCCTCCCTGGCTGCCGCCTCCTGTGTCCTGTCCATACTGCCAAGTAACTGCCTTTTGTGTGTGGGGAGGGGTGGCCTACACACTGTCCCTGCCTTACTGTCAGTGGAGTCCACAGAACATGGCAGAGCCCCTGGCGGACCAGCTCCCACCCCTCTGGGCACACCCCATCAGTAATGTACTGACACCCGGTAGGTGTTATTACATGGAAGCTATGATTTTATCCTCACAACTACCTTGGGTGTAAATATGGTTAAGTCCCCATTTTACAGAAGTAGAAATGGAGACTCAGAGAAGGTTCGTGAAGTCGGCCAAGATCATACAGCTATTGAGTGTGCCACGGCCTTACTCTCTGCCCTGGAGTCAGAGGCAACTATAGAGAATAAAGGGGTGATACCTCTGTGTAATACAAATTTGGGTTTTGGAAAGCTTGCCTATAGCTGAGACCAGCTCCACCCCCCCAACCCACCCCCCTACTAAATGGCTGTGGCCGCAGGGCCACTAGGACCCGGGCAGCTGAGCACTGCCATCTAGTGGCCACCAAGGTCAGGTTCTCTTCTTCAGGAATGGGCCATGGGATGGAGAGACTCAATGGTCCACAAGGGGTCAGCCAGAGAGACCCATGTTTTCTTCATCTCAGCACATTTGCTGCCACCATGCTGTGCCAGACATTGAGAGAGGGCAGGGGCTCAGCAGAGCCAGTGGGAGGCGGTCCGGTGGCAAAAGAGCCACTTGAATTCAAGCCTGGCAAATTTAGAAAACGCTGGGCACCTTGTGTGTGGCCAGGTGTGTTATCAATCTGTCGTGGGGGGCATTTGGGCTCCGTGGGCAGGAGGGCATCCTGGCAGATTCTGACGTGGAAAGGGGGCACGGGGAGTGAGAGGTCACATTGTTCCCATCTCGGCTTGAAGCAGGGCACGGCTTGGCTGAAGGCCCTGTGGAGGGGCGTCCAGGCATCTTCTCCCCATGGCCTGCAGCTTTCTATCTAATCCAGAAGTTGGTCTAGGGATTGACCTGAGGCTCTAGCTGTTGAGGTCCTTAGGTTGGGGAAACAGGAGAGAAAGCACCATGCAGATGGGGCAGATGTGCATCATAGTGTGATCTAGAACAGAGAGAGAGAGGGGGGGGGGGAGAGAGAGAGAGAGAGAGAGAGAGAGAACATAACTGTCCAACAGTAAGATTTGATTAAATTGATGCATATAGTGAAAAACCATGCAGCTGTTAAAATGATGACGTAAATATTTATTGATATGGAAAGATGTTCATAACATATTGAGTGAAAAAAGCAAATTACAAAATAATTTGTACAATATGAGCCCACTTATAAAAAACTGAATTTATACATATGAGAAAAGATTTGGTAGTGTTTATCTCCAGATGGCAAAATTGTGGTTGATTCAATTTTTTTGTTTTGCTTATCTGTAATTTCTGATTTTTCTACAAAGAATATGTAATAAAAAAATAATGACAGTTGGGCACACACCACAACCAAGGCTGTCTCCCTTGCTGGTTCTCCGTGTGGACATCTTTATATAGGTAAAGGCTGAGTACCAGGATAGGTATGAGGGGCAGATGGGGGTCGAAGATGGAGCAAGAAGCCTGGGCTATGACAGGGGCCCAAGGAAGTGGCTGCAGTAGGTGAAGATGGGTGGGACCTCCATCTGCTGCTGCTGCTGCTGCTGCTGATGATGATGATGGTGATGATGATGATGATGATGCTGCCGATGTTGCTGATACTGAAAAAACACCTGTGTCTCACATGCACAGGCACAACTCACAGAGCATCACTGACAAACACTTCCGGCTCTGGTTATACTTTTCCCTCCAGGACTGCTTGACGTTCATTTCAACTAGATTTCACTTGAACGAGAAGAGGAGGCTGCACACTGTAACTCGCCAGGCAAGTTGGAGGACAGCTGCTCCTAGCCACAGAGAGAAGAGTTAGGACTAGGGTTTGTCCCCAGCCTTGCTCTTCCTTTAAAGAGCCCTGTCCTTCCCCAGCTCCCCAACCCACAGCAGAATCAAAAGTCACTGGGCATCCCCTCCTCAAGATTCTCTTCCTCATGTCACTGCTCCAGCCCTGCAGTCAGATGTGGCTAGAGACTTAGGAAATCCTACCTCCTCTTTTTGCTCTGGGACTCATGGGGGAAACCTCAGCAAGCAGCCTATAACACGCCCAAATGAAAAGCATCTCTCCCAGCGTGGGGTAAGGGCACTGCCCGAGCTGAAGCTCAGGGGCCTGAGCTGACTCTAAGAACCAGGGATGGGGTTCTCCCCGGGAATAGGGAGCAGCCCGGCCTTGTCTGCAGAGCTGGAGACCTGGCAGTGCTGGGCTAGCCACCTCCCAGGGCCTTCCCCGATTGCCCACTGAATGACTCACCTTGGCACAGATACAATGGTTGGCGTGGGCACAGAGCCTGCTCTCCGCTGCACTGAAGCCCCTCTCAGATGCTTTCCGAGAAGCTCTTTGAGCAAGGGGTTGGGGCTGTATCTTGCCCAGAAGCCTGGCGTCTTGGGATTAAAACAGCACAGCCCCCTGGGGGCCTCCCTTGCTGTGTGGCGCCCTCACCGGCGGTGGAGAACAAGGTTCCATTCAGCAAGTGCCCGGAAAAAGGGATCAGAGGTCCGGGCATGGGCAGTGGGCAGAGTTGGGGCAGGGAGAGGAAGGCTGCCTGCTTTTCAGAAGTCCAAGGACACAGATGGATGGGGGTCCTAGGCCGGATGCTGACACCTCAGGACCAGAGTAGAAGGGGTAGATGGATTTGAAGTTTCAAGGGGCAACAGCCCAGGCCCTGGATTCCCAGTTTGGACTCAGTTTGGCTTGTGAGTTCCCAAGCCTACCCATCCCCAGAGGGGAACTCAAAGGAAATAAATCTCCAGTGGGAGAGTGAGGTGAGGGGTGGCCAGGGAAACAGGGTATTGCAAGCACAAAGAAGGGAGTAGGGACAGCCAGCTCATTCATAACTGCTTTGTGGAGTTGTCAAGGCTGGGGCTCTGGGAGGGGGGCTATGCAGGGAGGCCGGGCGAGGGAGGGTGAACCTGGTGGGACCGAGTGGCTCAGGGAGAGGGCCAGAGAGTGCAGTGCTTGCCCACTCTGGCCCTCTCAGGACTCCCAAGTTCCTTCCACCACCCCTCCCCCCCCGCCCCCTCTAGAAAGAGGCCTCGATAGACCCTCCAGACAAAGGGCTCGCGTCCAATTTCAGCCCACAGACCCTGAACCCCCAGAACTTAACGAGAAAGCAGAACTTAAGGAGAAGGCAGGAAACTGTAACATAGACTGTTCCTTGAAGGTATGGAACAGGTGTGTTCTCTGTCAAATTCTCAGCACCTCACAGGCACTCAAAGGAAAGTGCTGAGCGAGGGAAGGCCTGGGTTTCAGCATCCAAGAGTCAAAAGGCAGGTCAGAGGTCATCTGGTCTAGCTCTTTCTTGACTCACCTTCCTAGAGGGAAGGTCTCCTTGCCCAGTGATCGGGCCCCAGACCCAACATTTGGCCCCAGACACTGTATGCCAGTACCTCTTTCTATGGCCAGGCTAGGGCCCTGCCTCTGGGTACAATGACCTCAGTGGGGTGAGAGGAGTTCTCCCCATGGCTGGGCCGTAGCCCAGACCCACCCTCTCAGGCTATGCCAGGGGGGTGTTGCCAGGGGCAGTCAGGCAGTGCCAGGCCAGCCCACTCCTCCATAAAGCCTTCGCATCCCAGGAGAGAGCAGAGCCAGGCCAGGATGGAGAGGAGACGGGTCACCTCAGCTGCTCGCCGCTCCTATGTTTCGTCCTCGGAGATGGTGCTGGGGGCCCTGACTCCTAGCCGCCGCCTGGGTGCTGGCACCCGCCTTTCCTTGGCTCGAATGCCGCCCCCACTCCCAGCCCGGGTAGACTTCTCCCTGGCTGGGGCACTCAATGCTGGCTTCAAGGAGACACGGGCCAGTGAGCGGGCAGAGATGATGGAGCTCAATGACCGCTTTGCCAGCTACATCGAGAAGGTGCGCTTCCTGGAACAGCAGAACAAGGCACTGGCTGCTGAGCTGAACCAACTGCGGGCCAAGGAGCCCACCAAGCTGGCTGATGTCTACCAGGCTGAGCTGCGTGAGCTGCGGCTGCGGCTGGATCAACTCACCGCCAACAGCGCCCGGCTCGAGGTCGAGAGGGACAACCTGGCACAGGACCTGGGCACCCTGAGGCAGAAGTGAGAAAGGAGCCAAGAGAGAGAGGCCTCTTGAGCAGGGAGGACTGAGCTCCCAAAAGGAAGTGCCTGCAGGCCTTCTGGGTCTCAGGCAGGGGGCTCTGCCTCCCTGCTCCCTGGTTTCTGCTCCTTTGGGAGGGGAGGGCTGTCCTTGCTTCATGAGATAATGGGAGGGACTGGGAGAAGGCCCAGAGCCTCAGGGATCTGATTCCCAAAGACCTTCTGCCAGGGAGCGGGGTACTCTCAGCACCTCCCCATTGGGGAAAGCTGTGCAAGAGCAGACAGGGACCCCAGCAGACGGGGTCTGTGTGGGTCTTGGGCCCTGTGACTGTGGGTGGGGAGCTCACCTACTCTGAGCCCGGCCCATATAAAGGAGGAATTGGAAGAGGAGGTTGCTGTGCACTGGGAGGACTGAGCTCTGGGAGGAAGCGGGGGAGAAGAGCAGACAGGCCTGGCTTCAGAACGCAGGTAACTCTGCCTGTCACCAGCTTATGATCCTAGTCAAGGCACTTCAGCCTGCACAGCTGTGAAGCAGAGATCTTAACAAAACCCATTTCCAAAGGCCAGAGGGAACCCCAGGGGCACGGTGCTTTGCTGAGCCAGCCCAGCATGCATGTGTGCCCTCAAGTGCAGGAGGACCACATGTTTGTGTGCGCCGCAGTGAGTGTTCATTGGTGGAAGCGCCTGTGTGAGCAGGAGCAGGTGCAGCAACCCTGATAAGACACCTTAGTAATGAGTTAATACAAAGGCCCTCGTCTGCTCACCCTCGTGGCCAAGGCTCTGTCTAGGACCCCTCTACCCTCATTCCTCCTACCCCTCCACTAGTCCTGGGGGGTCTCTCTGGCAGCCACTTCTAGGGAGATTGACGCAGGAGTCTAAGAGTTCTCAGTAGAGCCTGGACCCAGGAATGTGTTCCCCTACCTCAGGCTCCAAGATGAAACCAACCTGAGGCTGGAGGCAGAGAACAACCTAGCCACCTATCGACAGGTCAGGGGAGTGGAGGGATAGGGTACGGGGTTGGGGGGGAAGGGTTGATGGCAGCCCACCCAAACACAGTCCCCAAGCTCAGCCCTCCCAAACAATATGCTGCTCCCCCAGCCCCAGATAGGGGGATCAGACAAAGCTAGGGTGTGAGGAAGAGGAGTCTGGGGTCAGAGCAGCCCTTTGCCTCTTCCCTACTCCAGGAAGCAGATGAAGCCACCCTGGCCCGTCTGGATCTGGAGAGAAAGATTGAGTCTCTGGAAGACGAAATCCGGTTCCTGAGGAAGATCCATGAGGAGGTAAGGCCAGGGCAGAGGGACAAAAAGCCAACATAGAGATCTGAAGAGAGAGGGGGAGGGGGAGAGAGAGCGAGGGAGAGAGAGACAGAGGGAGAGAGTCAGAGAGATACTTAGAGACAGACAGGGAGAGAAACAGACAGAGAATGAGAGACAGAGACAGATGGACAGGGAGACAGAGAGAGACTGAGAGAGACAGAGATAGAGACAGACAACAGAACATCACCAGCCCCTGGTAAAATACACACAGACACGCACTCCACTTATTGAGAATTATAAGAACTTTGTTGCTTCGTTTTCTTCTTCACTACAGCCCTATGAGAGAGGCGTCCTTCCAGTATAATCTCTTTTTCACAGAGGACTCTGAAGCTCAGAGAGGTTAAAGAACTTGCTAAAGTCACACAGTCTCTCTGACTCCACTTCCTCTGCTATCTGTCTCCATTTAACTGAGAATTATTTATAACAAAAGATCCCACTGAGCTCTGACTTCAGATCATAGACTCAGCATCCATGACCCCGTGGAACCTGGGAACCCACAGGCACACCCACCCACAGGGACTCAGTCACTCTCCCATCAGGACACAGGCATACTTTCAGTGCTCCTGCCTGTCTGGGACTGGGAGGAGGACACAATGAGGTCCCCAAACTACCCGCCACCTCCCCTAGCCTGGACTAGCCTCCCCATGCACTTCCTCCAACAAGGATTATCTCATTTCTCTTAGCCGATGTCTGTGTCCGAGGGGCAGGCTGAAGAAGGCATGATGCTGTGAGGAAAACCCAGTCACAGCCTAGACCCTGAACCCTGCTATCCTTTCTCTCACCCCGGTCAGGAGATGCGCGAGATCCAGGAGCAGCTGGCCCGGCAGCAGGTCCATGTGGAGCTGGATGTGGCCAAGCCAGACCTCACAGCAGCCCTGAGAGAGATCCGCACACAGTATGAGGCAGTGGCATCCAGCAACATGCACGAGGCAGAGGAGTGGTACCGATCCAAGGTAGCCCTGACTGTGGGCCAGCCTGCCTCCTCCAGGCAGCCCTCCTGGCTCCGTAGAAGAGAATTGGGGAAGGAAGGGAGAGAAAACTGGGAGAGGATCCTCTCTGGGTGAGTGACATTCACCAGAGAAATGAGGTGACTTGCCCAGGGTCACATAGGCACTATTACTTCAAATAAGTACTTATTATTATTGCTACTATTATTTTTAATGATAATAAATACTAGTAATAGTTGTTCCTATAATTAGTTGTTACTAAACACTGTTGTGTGCCAGGCCCTGTGCTTTGGATTGATTATCTTACTATAAAGTAGGTACTGTTCTTTGACAGATGAGAGACCTAAAGTCCAGAAAAGTTAACCAATTTGCCCAAAGTCACACAGCTCCTAAGCAATAAAGCTAGATTTCCAACTCTAGCCACGTCACTTGGGAGCCTGCATTCTTGATGCCTCTGCAATCTGTGTCCTGGGTTATTGAGTATCTACTGAACGCCAAGCACTGCTCAGGCTACAAAGACATGTCTCACTAGGGTGATGTAATGTGCCCTCAGATATGGTATCCACAGAGTACACGTCAGGGCTGAGTCTATATGCAATGAAGGGACCAGGGAGGATATCATAGAAGGAAGGGCATTTGGCCTAAGCAGGACTGGCAGCTATGGACATGAAGAGAAGGGGAAAGGGGCACCCAAAATTCAAGAAAGAACCTGTGGAGAGGCCTGGAGGCAAAAAAGTGCAAAGAGATGGGGGCCCAAATATGCTGGCCCAGGGCACTGAGCTGAGGAGCATGAGTGGTAAAAGCCAGTGATGGTTCTGAACAGATTGAGGCCCGATGGAGCCGTGAGGGCTTCGCTGCAAGCCGGAGGTGAGAAGGCTATTAGGACCCAGGTATCTGCTCAGCAGAACCCACCGTCTACAGTGGGGGAGGACAGGGTTCAATCCTCGGTGGAGCTGCCAGTGCAGGACTCTGGATTCTGTGGCAAACACTGTTCATTCATTTATTCCCTGACCAGGCACTGTGCTAGGTATTGAAGATTCAGCAGCAGCTACTGTGTCCCCTGTCCATGAGTCACAGTCACCGAGAATGATCTCACCCAGGGCCAGTGTCCTGGAGTGACCTGGACAAAAACCCTGAGGTCCTGCTCACCTTCCAGACTTCCCAAAGACCATGCCTTCCCCAGGGGGCCCACACAGCTTCCCATACGCAGTCGCAGTCCGCCCCTCAGCATAGGGTCCTCTCCCCATCTAGTTTGCGGACCTGACAGACGCCGCTGCCCGCAACACCGAGCTGCTCCGCCAGGCCAAGCACGAGGCCAACGACTACAGGCGCCAGCTGCAGGCCTTGACCTGTGACCTGGAGTCCTTGCGTGGCACGGTGAGTGTGAGCAGGGTCGCAGGGGGGTGGACGGAGGCGGGGAGCGGGGGCGAAGGAGACAGCCAGGGTCGTCCCGAGTCGTCCGGGTCCCAGAGCCAGGTGGCGTGACGATGCCTTGAGGGACCGGCTGGCTCCACTCTACAGAACGAGTCTCTGGAGAGGCAGATGCGAGAGCAGGAGGAGCGCCATGCGCGGGAGGTGGCGAGTTACCAGGAGGCGCTGGCCCGGCTGGAGGAGGAGGGGCAGAGCCTCAAGGATGAGATGGCCCGCCACCTGCAGGAGTACCAGGACCTGCTCAACATCAAGCTGGCCCTGGACATCGAGATCGCCACCTACAGGAAGCTGCTGGAGGGCGAGGAGAACCGGTGAGCCCCGACCGCAACCTTAGAAAATGCGCCGGCTGCCCCTCCTCAGAGCCCTCTCGCTCCCTTCGGGGACTGAATTATTCAGCCTCGTGTCCAGCCCCCTTCTATCCCAGTGCCCAGCACAGTGCTCACCTAACACATAGTAGGTATTCAATAAATGTTCGACAAACGAATGAATGAATGGATTCAATTCGATCAATGTTGATTAGGACGAGGACTTGGATCATCCCCGCTTAAACTAAAGCCTCACCCCCGACCCTCCCAACAAAAATCGGTCTTTTTTTCCCCCCAACCTATCTTTTCTCCCTCCTCAGAACTTTGCCACTCTTCCCTCCCCTCTGCCATCCTCCAAGCCCCCACTGTCCACAGAATGGAGATCTTCACAGATAACACCCACGCCCCTCGCAGACTCTTGGAGCTCCAGGGAGCACATTGGCTGCTGGGGAAAGCTGGGGAATGCGGTCCTTGAGGCTGTCATGATAACCCTGGACCAGTACCTTCCTGGGACGTCCTTGGGCAGCCTGGTCACTCCTCTCCCCCTGCTGTCTTTCAGCATCACCATTCCTGTGCAGACCTTCTCCAACCTGCAGATCCGAGGTCAGTAGAGCAGGGCCGTGTGGCCAGGGTGTTGGATTCCTGCCCCCTCCCCCAGGCCTGTGGGCTGCTGCTCTGGCCTGCCAGGCCGAGGACCTGGGCCAGGAGGTCTGCGGCTCTCCTTGAGGGCCTTCATAATTCACCACAGAGCTTCTGGCCAGAACACACCATCCCAAGGGCATTCCAGGTGGGGCTTGCAGCAGCTCCTGTCCCTCTCCTTGTGTCCCTCTCCCCACCCCGTACCCCGATTCCACCACAGAACTGGGTAAGGGTCTCAACCTCTGTCCTATCTGCAGATCCCTGAGCAAGCTCTGCCCATCTGAGTATTTTATGTTCTTGTTTTTTTTAACTGCTTGTCACTACAGGGGGCAAAAGCACCAAAGAAGGAGAAAGTCACAAGGTCACAAGACATCTCAAAAGCCTCACAGTACAAGTTATACCAATTCAGGCTCACCAGATTGTAAATGGAGCCCCGCCGGCTCTCGGTTAGCTGCCTGCCTCTCAGACACGGTGCTTTTCTCCACTTGGCAGGGAGGGAGCCTCGCCAAGCCCATTTCCCTGTCTTCTTAGGCTCCCTCATCCCAGGTTTCCCTATAGGGCCAGCCTGTGTCATCTTCCCAGCAACCTCAGTGCCCAGCCCAAGACCTGCCACAGGTTAACTGTAGGTTAAACTAGTGGAGCTGGCTGGTGTTCAAGGTACTCAGAAGAGATGCTCTGGGGCCTCTGAGCAAACGCCAGCCTCTGCCTCACCTCTTCCCCATCACTGGGAGGGCCCCCAGGGTCTCACTGTGCCCGGTGGCCAGGCTCTGGCTTGATTTTCTGTCCCCGAGGCTCCAATGCTCAGCTCGGTGCTGATTCAGCCCAGAGGATTATTTCTCCCTGGACTGCGCTCATGTAGTGAATAAAGTTTTATGTTCCCTGCTCTTAATTTTAAATATTAGTGTGACATGTTATATTTTTCTCTCTGGGCAGGGGGGGGGACTAAATTATTTCTTACTTGTATGTGGCCCTCAAGTGATTCTCAGCTATAGAAAAATCATTCTTCTTCTAGCCTAGAAATTTAGGAATACAAAATATAGATGTCCCAGAGCTTAGTTCAGCATCAGAAGGTGGACTAGCTAAAGATAACACTGCCAAGTGCCAGACAGTAAAGGGTTATTAGGGCCCAGAGAAGTGACAGACAGAAGTAAGAAAGGGGAGAGGGGACAGGAAAGGGACCCACATGTATTGAGCACTAATGTGTCAGTCACTTAACATACATTATTTCAGTTAACTGACTCCTCACTCCCACCTAAGAAGTAGGCACCATCATCCCCATTTTGCAGATGTGGACACTGAGGCTGGGAGAGGTAAATTAACTTGCCCATGGTTGTGTGGCTGATTAGTGGCTAAGCTGGGACTTGAACTCTGGCCTGCCTGATTTCAAAGCCCACGTGCTCCTTCCTCTGCACAGTGCTAGGTCGTCAGAAAGCCAGGTGCCAGGAGAGGGCTTGCAGAGGGGCTAAAATGCAGCCAAGCCAGAAAGGCAAGCAGGGCAGTGGACAGAGCAGCCAGGACTTGCCTAACATAGTGGGGACTTGGGGGGTCACCAGCCCTTTGGGAAGAGCCGAGGCTCTCCCTGTCTAGTTGGATAGGCTTCATATTCATGATTGGGGTGTGATAGGAAGCCTGGGGTGGGAGAGGATGTCTAGTGCCTTGAGTGCCCACAGGAGGCCTCCTCTCCTCACACCTACAGAAACTAGCCTGGACACCAAGTCCGTGTCGGAAGGCCACCTCAAGAGGAACATCGTGGTGAAGACTGTGGAGATGCGCGATGGAGAGGTGAGGAGAGCAGACCCGAGATTCTGGCCTGTCAGGCTCCGGCTGCCCCCAGGAATTCTTGAGGCCAGGCTCTGGAAGAAAGCCTGGACTGGCCCATACGATGTTCTTGATAACTCACAAGAGCTCCCTAGGGAGTCTCTGGAAGAGGAGAAGGAACCCGGATGGAATTCAATGCCCCAGCCCCTCCGCTGGCATTTTTAAGGGAAGCTGGATGCCTAGGCCACAGGATGGGGTCCTGACTCAGGTATTCTCCCTTTCTCACCCTGACTCAGGTGCCCCCGGCACCAGGCCCAGAGGAAAGAGAAAGAAAATTAAAGTCAGCGGTTTTTACTCAAAACTTTCAGTTTCCAGCTTGGTTGAAGGAACCTGCCAGAGGAATGGGAGGAACCTGCCAGAGGAAAGGGAGATTTGGCATAACCCTCTCCCCATCACAGCAGCAACAGCACTAGCTCATCTAATACCATGTGCCGGGCATGGTGCTCATTTTCCCCTCTGACTGCTGCATAAGGGAGTTCTGGTTACTCTCATCGAAAAGAAAGACCCTGGAAGGTTGGGGATTTGCCCAAGGTCACGTAGCCTAGCAATGGTGGACCCCAACTCTGCATGAACTCCTAACTGTGCCCCTGTGCACCTTCTCTGTCCCCTACAGGTCATTAAGGAGTCCAAGCAGGAGCACAAAGACGTGATGTGAGGCAGGACCCACCTCATGGCTCCTGCCCCATAGCAGGAGAGGCCTGCAGCAGGAAACAGGATAGTTGCCCCTCCTCTGATAGCTAATTTCCCCAAGCCTGAGTCCCCACTCCCACCCTAGTTGCTCCCCTCCCCGCTCCATCTCTCTGCCAGCTTGCTGCCCCAGGCTCTGTCAGCATTAGGCCTGCCAGACAGCACCTACCCCACAACCAGCAACTTCAACTAACAGGGCACTCACCCCAAAGGGGCAGCCTAGAGGGGCATGGCCAGCACCCTGGGTTAGAATTGGGAGGGAGGAGAGAAGTTGGAGAGGGCTTAGGGACCTAACAAATCACTCTCCATATCCTCATCCTTGTTGTCATGGCAACTGTTGCTAGAGCTGGAGGTCTCTGGGCTATCTAAGAAGTGGGACTTTGAGTTTCCTCAGGCTGCTGGAGGAAAACTGAGACTCTGAGACAGGAAGGGAAAGTCACTGCAGGCTAGGAAGCCCTGGTCAGAGGCTCATTCTTCTAGACGGACCCTGGCCAGCCTGAGAGTAGGTGGGGGCGTATCCTGCCATCTGGAGTCATCGGCAGACAGAATTCCTGGCCTGCCCAGATTCCAGAGGGGCCTCCTGAGTGATGATTCAAGTGTCTCAGCCCCACTGAGCTACCATGTGGGCATGCTCTGGGCGGGTGGGAGCTTGATTCTCAGCACTTGGGGAATTTGAGTGTAAGTGGAGAGGGAAGAGGTGCTGGGAAGGAGTAAAGGGGGCTACCTGGCCCCTGGGTGTCAGCACAGGGAGGTCAAGTGTAGGACGATTCCCCCATATAGGCTGAGGGGAAGGTAGAGATGGTGGAGAGGCAGTGGGATGATGCTAGACATCAGAGTTGGGGATATGGGTGACCAGTTACACTTGGAATCAAGGAAGGGACTCATCTTCTCGAAGATACTAGAACAGGAGAGAAAGGGGCTGCTGTCTACAGGAGCAGGACACACTTTGTCCCAGTTCTAAAGGCCCCTGCCTTTCCACATAAACCCTGTCCACCCAGGCCCCTGAGCCATGCAGCTGCTGCCTCCTGACCCCAGCAAATGCTGCTGGGCGAAGCCACCATAGTACACCTGGCCCTGTCCACAGTGACCTACTGCTTTTCCATAAGCCAAGGGCCTGGTGGTCCCCTCTTACTCAAATACAAAATATGCCCGGATATTTTAGGTAGCTCCTTATTTTATAATTTAGGAAATTGAGGCACAAGGAGAGCGAAGACCTTGGTTTGTGTCCCTGCAGCCTGGAGGCGGGGCAGCTGGGAGCACACACTTTTACCCAGAGCATCTGCTCTGCTTTCCACTGGAAGATGTGGGGGAGGGGGGGTGCCCCCGGGACTATCCATACCCAGAAATGGGGCAGAGAGGACCCACCCCAGGGTCCCCCTCTCCCCTCTAAGGCCAAATGGATGGAGAAGTGGGAGTCCATCCGTCTTTCCAAGACTTGGTGCCCTTTTCCTGATTCCCTCCTGCCACCCACTGCTGCTAATCTTCAGGGCACCGCTACTGCCTTTAATCATTGAAGTAAATAAAGCCAACCGCTGCAGCCTCCCCCAGAGTGGACTCTGATCTGTTCAGGAGAGGCTGGGTGGGGGGAAGGGGGCAGCAAGTAGCCTTGGACAAGACCCCACTTGCTTATCACTGATCATCTCGGAAGCCTAAACCTCCACAGCAGTAGCCACATGACAACTCCCACCTCCCACCCTGCTCTGCCACAGCAGCCCTGGCCCCCCTACCCCACCCCCACCTTTGCTCCAGCCCCTATTCTTATTCCCAGTCCACTGCCTGGGTGCTGTCTCTCAGGAAAGCCCTGAATCTGACCTCCACTTTCCTCACCCATTTCCCCTGTTCTAGTCTTTACCTTTGTTCCCAAATCCACCATTTCTACCAGCCAGTCCCAGGATGAGGCTGAGGAGGAAGGCAGAGAGGATGTATACAAGCCCCTCACCCCTTTTTTCTTCTTCCCTTTCCCTGCTACCTTCAATTCAACTGCCCATCCTCGAAGGCAAGAAAATAAAGCACCTCGATACCAAACAGGCCATTTGATGAACATTAGGTTCCCTCTTCCTTCTCTGAGCTGACTGTGAAGTCAGAAGACATGTGCACCTTGGCCTCAGCCCCCCATCCCCCACCTGTCTCAGGCTTCCCTGCTTCCCAGACGAGGTCCCAGATGTAACCATGAAAATGGAGAGAGAGCAGGTTGTCATTGACAAATCTGTCCACACCCCCTTGCCACAGGTCCCCACCAAGAAAGGGATGCTGACCCAGTGGTACCTGGTATCGTTTAACAAACACATTTGGACACAACCAGTCTTTAGAGCTGGGGGAGAGCCTAGGGGGCGAAGCTGGGACAATAGCGAAATAAGTAACCGCAGCAACGACAGAGGTGAATGGTGACAAAGACCGACGTGATGAGCAGATATCCTATCAGGGTGAGCTCCATGGCAGAGCGCGTCTCGGGGTCTGAGAACGAGGCCTTGTAGCGCCCTCGAGATGTCACGCCCAGGCGGAACCCAGCGATCTGTACCCCCTGCAGCCAGCAATAGTAGATGCCCCGGTCGCTCAGCTGGGTGAAGCGGATGTGGAGATGGTTGCCGTGGTCAATGAACACCCTCATGGACCTGTTGACACCCTTCAGGTACTCTGTGCGGTAGAAGTACTGGTGGTCCTTGTCCCAGGCCACAGCGTGCTCTGGCCGGGCACCAGGACAGGAGATGATGAGTCCGTGGCCCAGCCTCTGCTGGTGGAACTGAATGGGCACCTGGGGCACCCAGGGCTGGCTGCCCACTTTGGACACATAGCTGAAGATGGCCATCACGCCCTTCTGGATCATCGTCGTTTTCTTGCAGGGCACCATGCAGCTCCGAACCAGCAGCTCAGGTGTATGGTCCCTGGCCTTGGCCCGCAGCTTTCTTGGCACAGCCTGTGAACCACAGGACACCACATCTGGCAGTGTCTTACGGTAGCGGGGAGAGAGGTCTGGGCTCTGCAGGTAGCAGAGGCCAAGGCGCCACTGCTCCCCGCGCACCCCGCAGCGGTCACAGGGGGTCCACTCCCAGAAAGTGGTGAAGACATGGAGGCTCCCATGGTACTCATCTGCAAAGGGCTCCTGGCCCTGGTCCTTGAAGGTGGCCACCATTCCCTCACCGCTCTGGATGTCCACATCGTAGGCATAGAAATAGTCCCCCTTGCGGGTGCCACAGAAATACAAGCCTGAGTCCTCGGGCTGGGCCTGGAACACCAACAGGCTGAACATGCGAATGCTGAAGCGGACCAGCATGTCACTGCCCACCCGCACCTGGGCTGCCTCAGTTAGCACCCGCCCATCGAAGTCTGTGAGTACTTTGGTGTGGCTGCTACCAAGGCGCTTTTGGTAGTACCAGACTACAGCGGACACCTCCTCTGGTTTGCAGTGGCAGGGCAGCTCGAAGCTCATGTCGGCCAGGTAGGCTGCATTGTCGAACATCAGGAAAGCAGGGCAGGGGGTCCTCTGAAAAATGTTCTCCTTCTCCACGATTTCAAAGGCTTGGAGACTCCCCCACACCCACAGGAGCACTGTGGTGTGGGCCAAGTTCATGCCCGCAGGAAGGAAGGATCCGAGGGGGAGAAGCAAAACCAAGGCACTAAAGGTCTATGGGGCTTCTAGAAATCACTACCAGAGGGAGCATCTATATGAGGAAAGGATTAAGCAGCCAAGAAAAGAAGCAACAATCTGTAGGGGAAGCGGCCAAAAGCAAAGCAATTTATTCCCAGCTGATGTACACGATGCCCTTCTAATGTGACAGATGCGATCTCAAGGGAAAATCCATTCTAGAATCTGGCCCTTCTCCCCTTTCTAGAACACTGGCACTCTCACCCAAGAATGGGCCAGGAGAAACTGGAATGAGAAGCCAAGGGTCCAGAAGCTAGACAGGGAAATCTCTGCTGCCCTGTTCCAGGCCTTGCCCTGCCTGCCTGGTGAGAAGGTCTTCCCTTTGGTCAGTCCAGGAGTTGAAGGAAACCCACCCACCTACACATCTGGCATATGAAGAAGCCTGGGAGGCTGGCCAGACCTAAATTGATGGCTTGGGGCTTTCCCAGGCCTAACCTGCACAGGAACTCAGCCCCTAGGGAAAAATATTGCACCTCAAGTAGGTTAGCATTTGATCATTTGTCGATTAAATGTCCATTCATTGGTTTTAGGTTATAAATATTCTTGTTAAGAACTATGGAGATCTGTATTTGTTTGCCATGGAAGATTCACGATTTTGCTTCTTTCTTTTTTGGGGTGGAGGATGTAACTGGTATAGCCAGCACCAGATTGGGCACACGCCCATCTCTCAGGGCTGTGAGCCACAAGTGTGGTGGACTCTAAGGGCAGGAGGCAAAGCTCTTTTAGCTTCCTGGGCCCTTGACCATCTGTGGATCTACACATTTCAGAATATCGAGCCACCAAAGGACTAGAAAAGAGGAGAAGATTTGATTTTGGCTTTTACTCTGAAAATTCCAAGTTGAGAAGGGAATTAGGTGCAGGCTTCTTATTACAATCCTGTAGAGCCCCAGGACAACAACCAAAAAATGCTGGGGTCCTCTGAAGGTAACTGATCCTATCAATCCACCTGGTACAGCTCTAGCAGCTCTTGCAGGAGCTGCTCCTCCTCCTGGAGTCCACCAGGCAGCTCCCCTAGACTCTGCTCCTCCTGGCCGAGCCCCTCCTTTGTGGGTCTGGGGGCACCCATGGCTTGCAGCTTCTGAAACAACGCTCTGCAGCTCTCTCTCTCTGCATGGCTCATCAGGCTCAGGTTCAGGGCGAAGCGCCCGGTGCCGGCCAGGCTGCGCAGGATCCCCAACACCCCCAAGCGGTCTGCCGGCCTCACGTGATCGGCCAGCACAATCAGCAGCTCCCCTAGAAGTCCAAATCCCACGTCTGTCTTGAAGAGCTGTCCCAGCTTGGCACCTCCAAGCTGTAGCAGGGCCTGGTAGCGCTCTGGCCCACTCCGCAAGTATCGCCGCCAATCACGGTAGAACTCTGCTGAGGTCTCAGGCTGCAGGCGTGTTTTCTCCTAGATCGCAAAAGAAGAAAAGGGAATCCAGAGCTCTTCCAACTGCTCTGTGACAATGGGAATGAGGGGAGCCCGTGGGTTTTCATCTAAGCTCTGGTACTGCTCTCTGAGCACTGGGAAAGCTGTGGTCCCAATGGGTCTCATTTTCAGATGAGGAAACTAGGGGTGGAACAGGGAGGGAGGGGCCCAAAGATTCCAGGCCATGCTTCGAGATTCTCAGTTGTACCAGGATTTTCCTACTGATGAATGGAAGAGCGAGTCAGGGTTTACTCTGAGCAGGGCAGAGGGGATGATTGAAAGAACTCAAGGTGAGTGTTAAAGGGCTCTGACAGTCTGGGTCTCCCTCTCAACACTGCCACTGGATCATTCTACTATGTACATATAACCTGGAGCAACCCCAATCTGACCTGTGAATGCAGGTCAAAGAACTGACTGAAGGAGACCTGCGTAGCCCTCCTTTCTGACTTGTTCTGCCCAATTTAACTCACCCCCACCATTCACTGGTTGCTTTTCTTTCTGAGATTGGAGGCAGAAACCTGCCTCTGTTGGCTTCACATGAGAAATAAAGAAAAGTATGGTTTGTAAGAAGATAGGACTGGAGATTTAGGGCAGAGAATCCCGCTGGGCCTCACCTACCTGGCAGATTTCAGTGGTTTCGTCCTGGGAGGTCTTTCTCTGAGTACTGTGACAGTTCCAGGGCACAGTCTTCTTTTCTATCTTATCCTTCTGCTCCAGTGGCTTCAGATGTGATGCAAGGACAATACCCCTGTGGGCAAAGGACAGATATTAGGGGATGGGTATGAGGTGGCTGGACATTATATGATATAAGCTGAACCTGTTGGCAGGCCAATATGACAATAACAACAATAACAACAACAGCACCAATAGCTGACAGCTTTTGAGCACTTCCCATGTGCCAGACATTGTGCTTAGAAATCTTACATGTGATAACTCATTTAATCATAATAATGGTTACTCTCTTTTATAGATGAGCAACAGAGGCTCAAAGAGGTTAAATAACTTGCACAAGATCACTCAGATAGCAGAGGGTAGGGATAGCACTGAGCTCAGAATTGTCTAACATCAAAGCACATGCTCTTATCTACCTTTGTCCACCATAACAGGAATGCATGAAAAATAGCATTAAGCCAACCTGAACTCTTCATAGGAAGCAACCCTCTGTTCCACTGCCCGTAACTTGGCAGCATTCTCCCGTTTGTACTTCTCATCGGCAGTGAGTGCAGCATGCAGCTCTTTCTCCAAAGCCTTGAAGTCAATGATGTCATTCCTTTCCATGGCCTGTGCCTGGGAAGGCAAAAGGAATGGACACAGGGGAAGGTCAATAACAGGGGGAAGAGTGTGCATCTGGATTCTTTACCAGCCCACAAAATGACACAAAAGCACTCTGGATATCTTGTCACTTATGTTGGGGGGTGTTACAAGAATCTCATTCTCTACTGAGGGGAGCTGAGTTGCACACTGAGAACTTGCTTAAGACTTGCCACTGAAAATAGAACAGAATCTTGACTTTCACTTTGGAACTCTATCTTAATTTTGTTCTTTGCCTCAAAACACATTTTAATAATAATTCAGCTGAGGAAGCATTTGGGTCTCAAAATTCAGTCCCTTCACTCTTCCATGTGGGCAGTTATGATAGAAGACCTTACACAAAAGCTGAACTATTAGCTATGCTTGAGTCAGTGATAAAATTTCATCCATCATTAAATAATGGAAAAGGATACTTTTCACCCAAGCCAGATGCAACGTCTGTGCAGGAAATCAAGTAGAAGTGGCAGAGGAAGGGGCTTTATGACCCCTCTCCCCAAATCCCTCTGTCCAGCCCAGGGCTGGAACCACAGGTCCCTAGGTATTTGGGCGACCTCTTTAGTTCTGCCACTGTTCTTCTGTAGCCTCCGAGTATCTGAGATTGATTCTACAGGAAGATCACCTACATGGGTTCTAGTCTTGGCTCTGGTATTTATTTGCTGTGAGACCCCTTTGAACCTCAGACTCCCAGTGCATTCATTTAGATTTTGTAGCGGAGTCTTTATCAACAGCCCAAGAGCAGAGAAGCAGGAGGTCCGCATCCAACCTCAAAACCCTCCACCTCCACCCCAACGTGAGTAAGTTGAACCCCCAAAAGAGGGTTGGGCTGGCCAGGACCTGAACTCAGGTGTCTTGGCTCCTGTCCAGTTCTGAGCCCTCCCCAGTCATTGAATAAATAGAACAACTAACCCTTCCGTCCCCTGACCTTCACCCCAGCAGCCCTGGCTTTGGTTCCCTTGCTTTCTTTGGGGATCCCCAAATACACTGAAACAAGACAGCTCAGCGTAGACCACGCCCAGCAGCTGTGGTTGCCCAGCAACTGCTCTAACAACCTGCCCACGTGATCGACCCAAAGGCCCCCGACTCCGTTCAGGGTGGTCTCGAGGCGCCTGATCAGATGTATGCGACCTCTGGCCTCACTCTCTTTGGAGAAACCCACGCCTTAGTTTGAGGATCCACGGCTCCACCTTGCTAATTCCTGTGTCTGCGGCCGTCATTCCTCCAAGCTGGTCCTCAGGCAGAGGGCTGTCCTCCGCAGCAGAAACGCGACCGCGGCGTCGTCAGGGTCCTTCCGGACGGCGGGCGCAGACGGTGGCGCGGCGTGGGACGGAAGTGCCCTCCTCGGCGGCCTACTGGAGCTTTTGGCTGAGCAGGCGGGAGGTGAGCTGGCGCGGGTCAATGGTATGGGAAGGTTGCTTCGGGTGGGGAGGGAAATTAAATAATGTCAGATCTGGAAGAGACGTTGTATGCTCCCTGCCCTTTTCACTTTACAGATCGGTAAACTGAGGCGTGGAGCGGGAAAGGAAATGAAAGCTACCCAACACACGCCTCCAGATTCCAGGGTTCTCTCAGTGTTGTCCATCCGTAAAATACCTTCCATGGGCAGGGGTCGTTCTCACTGTTAAGCTCCCTCTCTCACTCCTTCTTCCATCCGTGCCGTCTTCACTTTTCTGCCAAGCTCCCTCTGTTCTTATTCTGTTTTCCTTTGAGAGCCTACCTTATAGCGGGAAGCTGCAATGAAATCTGTCTTCTCTGTGCCTTGCTGGAGTCATTCATTCATTCGACAAATACTTATCGAGGCTTTATTTTGTGCCAGGCCCTGTTCCAAGTGGAAAAAAAAAAAAAAAAAAAGCCCTTGCTTAAGTAGTAGTTGGGGAGGTGACAGTAAACCCATGAATATGTCAGCTAATGATAAATGTTAATAATAATAAAACAGTGAAAGTGGGAGTCGGAGAGTGTGTATGGGAGACTTTTTTGGAGTGACAAGGGAACTTTCTCAGAGAAGATGACATTTTAGTAGAGAACTTAATGAAATGAAGGAATGAGGTATAAATATCTAACGGAAGAGCATTTCGGAAGAGAATAGCAAGTACAATGGCCCTGAAGCAGAAATGAGCTTGATTTGTCCTATGAACAGCTTTCTATACAAATTTCTGCAGTCCTTTCATGGATTTTGGAAGAATGAGATGAGCACAGATGTGATAGCTCTTTGGAAGTAAAAAGAATTTATGCATGTGAAAGTTTCCGTAATAATTCACATTTAATTACCAATCCTCGAAGCTCTTAATTCTCTATTTTATCTACACTTGGCACTCAACAGGTGGCATTGAGGAGATGGAGAGATTAACCTCGTGCAAGAAATAACAGTATCTCAAACATTTTATTCACTTAACATTTATCCAGTTCCTGCTTGTGCAAGCTGAATTGGCAGGTGGGCACAAGGAACACAGGGTTCCTGTATTCAAGAATGGCCAAAATGCTAGATAACATTTATTGAACCTAGGACTCTGATAAATTCTTTACACAGACTATTTTGTTTAATTCTCACAACCTTTCGTTCAATGGGAATTATTCACTCCATATTCCAGTTGAGGAAACAGGTTTAGAGTGAAGTAGTTTACCTGAAGTTACATAGTTATTAAGTGACAAAGTTAAGATTCACATCCAGGTCTTCCAACTCCAAAGCTCAAGTCCTTAACCCATGCTCTCTTCTGTTGTTTATTACTTGTAAGCTGTAGAGTTGGTGAGGGTAATACAGGTAACTGCCTTCAAAACAATTAAATTCTGGTAAAGGTCCAGAAGGCTATATCGGCATAGGGGAGAGAGAAACCGAGGATCTCAGAAAGCTTGAAGGAGGTGGCATTTGAGCTGTACTTTGAATAGAATTTCAGTAATTGAAGTATAGAAAACCCATAAAATACTTATTAACTGCAAAGAGAAAACAAGTAACTTTACAATAGAAAAGCCTGCCAGACATCATGGTAATCAGGCGATTAAGTTATATCACCACTAATGGGACAAATTAAAATCATATACCAGAGAGTAGATGCACTAAAAAGAATACAGCATCACTTCTGTGGTATCCCTGCCAGAAATACCAGAAATCCCTAATTATGAGGAAACAGACAAACCCAAGCGAAGGGATATTCTACAAACTCACAAGCCTGTAATCTTCAAAAGTGTCAAGTCATAAAGTCAAGGAAAGACTGAGGAACTGTTCCATAGTAAAAGAAACTAAAGACTTGACGACTAAATGCAAAAATGCAGTCCTGGATTGGATCCTTTACTATGCAGGACATTATTGGAACAGTTTGTGAAACGTGACTGGAGGGTCTGTGGATTAGGTGGTAGTAATGTGTCAATTGTGTTTTTCTGATTATGTACGAGAATGTCCCTGTTTGTAGGAATCAGACACTAAACCAGCGGTTGGCAGACAGAAATTTTTCTATAGTAAATATTCTAGGCTTTTTGGGCCATATGGACTCAGTTGCAGCTACTCAACTTTGCTGTTACACTGCGAAAGCAGCTGTAGACCATATAAATGAATGAGCATGGCCGTGTTCTAATAAAGCTGTTTTTATAGACATTGAAATTTGAATTTCATGTAATTAATTTTCATGTATCATGAAATATTCTTTTGATTTTTCAACTGTTTAAAAATGTCAAAGGCATTCTTAGCTTGGGGGCTTGTGAAATCAGGCGGCAGGCCAGATTTAGCCACAGGCCATAATTTGCAAACTCCTGCGCTAAATAAAGTTTTGGGGTGATGATGCATTGTATCAGCAACTTATTCTCAAATAATTTAGGAAAAAGAAAGATTTGTACTATTTTTGCAACTTTATGGTATTAAATTATTTTACAATTAAAAATCATTTTAGCATTAAAAAAGAAGTGGAAGAAGAGTATGTAAACAGTGACAATGGGTAGAAGAAATAGGGAATGTCCAGGCCTTTGAGGGGACCACTCAGTGGGTTGATGTAACTGGAGAGGGGCTGTGTGATGGGATATGGTCAACTATAAGGCTTGAAAGGTGGAGCCATGGAGGCCTTCATTACCTTACCAGAATCTAATTCCTCTTCTCCTTGCATTTTAGCATCATGGATACTGACTTGTATGATGAGTTTGGGAATTATATTGGCCCAGAGCTAGATTCTGATGAAGATGATGATGAATTGGGCAGAGAGACCAAAGATCTTGACGAGGTAAGGCGTAAATTGCTTTTTTTCTCTCTCTTTTAAAAAAGCAATAAAGTACTGAATCCACTCTGCTCCCATAATACCTGTTTATATCTCTAACATTGTCCTCTTTGTGATATGACTTATTAGGGTTCTTATACTGCTCCTAAGAAAACTTAGCTATTGAAGTTCCGAAAGGAAATATAATGTAGTCACCTTTTCCAAGCACAGGTGCCCTGGGAAGTCCTTCATAAGCTCGGGTTTTGAAAGATGAATAAAAGCAGAAAGAGAAGGTGCAGACTCCTATGACTCCCCTTCGGGAGAGCTATGGAGGATGAAGTCCAGATGATTTGAGGCTTGCAAAAGACTCCAAAGATGGCTTTTATATTTTAGCACTGTTCAGAATAAGAAGTAAATAGGCCCACTGCTTATCGATGGAGGTGTGGCATTAATGAAACAGCAGGGAAGCAGGGCAGAAGTCCCGGCTGCCATCCCATCTGTCTTCTCCATCAGAGAAAATGTCCTTCAGACTAGAAAAAAATCAAATAAACACTGGAAAAGGAAAAGTAAATTTGAGCCATATAGGTGAGGCTAAAAGAGAGCATCTCGCGGCCTTGAGTATGTTCAGGTCTCCAGGTCCACCATATGCATTGGGTCCTACCTAGGTGGGGTGGTGGAGGAGACCTCAAAGAGGTAAGCTCAGAGCCTCTGTGGTCATCTTTAAGAAACTGGGGACTGGCTGTGGTCCTAGAAAGTGAATCAGGCAATTCGTCCTACTTTGCAAAGATGGAGATAAGGCATTGCATTTCAGAAACTATAGGCTAATAAGTGTGATATGCATCCATGGTAAAAATTATGGACGGAAATTTAACACAGATGGCATCGAATACTTAGGAAGGTTATATGAGTTTATAAAAATTTATTCTTGATACAATTACTAGTTTGAGGTATTATAGGTCAAAGGTGTGCTGTGGATATTATGTATCTTGATTTGGGCAAGGCTTTTGAAATCACTTTTCTTATAAACCAGTTATTTTCTTTTTTAAAAATATTATTTTAAAGCAATATTTTTTATTATACAAGTAACTCATGAATATACTCTTATTCAAATCAGATAGAAAATATTCTTTGGTTCTTAATCCATTTCACTCCCCAAGGTAACCACTGTAACTCATTATGTCCTTGTGGAAAAATAGAGGCTGAGTCATAATACGAGGAAAAGTCACAGCTGTTGAACAATGGGGCCCAAAGAGTTTGATTAATGGATCACCACCAGAGCTCTTGTGACATGCCCCTAGCATCCATGCTTGGTCCCATCCTTTTCAACCTTTTTATCAATGACCTAGGTGAAGATAGAGAAGAGAAGTTTCTAATATTTGCACATCACATAAGCTAATTATTGGATAATGGAATGTAAATTCAAAGTGATCCCAACAAACTTGAATTCCTGGCTAAATAGAGCCCAAGAATTCATTAAGTATTTATAGAGCACTTACTATTTGCAAGGAATCATAATGCTGAGAGAGCCAAGGCATTAGCTCTGCCCTGCAGGAATCTACAGCTTGCCAGGGGAGATGAAGTACATGCAAAAATATTTATGAGATAGGGAAGGACAAGTGCCATTTAAATCATATTAATTTATATTCATAATAGTGGTATATAAGGAGGCATTCTTCCTGCTGGGATGACCAAGAAAGATAGCTGTGGAAGTCACATTCAAAGTAGACCTGAAGAAAGGGTAGGCATCTGTAGAGACAGAAAGTAGAATGATTAGCGATTGTGTAGGTTGGGGGCGTGGAATTGGGGTGTGGGGTTATAGCTAGAGGATAC